GATCGGACGTTTTTCTGTTGTTCTTCGAGATGTGTTGCACCTGTGCATTCCGCATCTCACCCACCTCCCCAGCGTTGGAGTGTTCCAGCATGCGCCGATATGCCGGCGCCACTCCAGGGGGCTCCCCGGCTGGCCCGATGGGTACCGCTAAGGGAAAACTCTCCAGCAATCCGTGCACGCGGTGTGCGCACACCTAAGTGGAATGGACATGAGCAACACATCGCGAAGAGCAACAGTTACGAAAGTAAGTAACCGTTTTTTTCCCCACACAAATACCTATAAAGCAGTGTTATAACCACTGTTCTTCTGGTTAAGGGAAACCATGTAGAACCAGTTAATGCCGCTCCTTGTTTGGCTGGAAAAAGGACATTGTTAAGCAACTTGAGTCCAAAGAGTGAGACTATTTTGGAACTCAGACCTGTCTCCTCCTTAACAATGTAGAAAGCGCTGCTGCTAAGCTTTCCTTCTAGTCCTGAATCTGTCTTGAAATGATAGATTGCAGATATAAATTAGGAAAGTAGCAAAATTTGTTCCTTTAAAGATGGGGGGGGGGAGATGGTGAAATCTGACATTTTGAAGAAACTCTTTGTTTGTTTGTTTGTTTGTTTTCATTATGAACGCCAACAAAATCTGCTAAGTATTGTTTCCATTCATTTTATCACTTGAAATTTCACTGTGATGATCTGTCAATGTCCAAGGTTTTCTTATAGCAGTAATAGTAACTCTCTTTTTTAAAAAATGAATTGAAGGCTAAAGGAGTGTACGAAAAGGTTGGAGAAGCTACGGAGACTGCACTCACCTGCCTGGTTGAAAAGATGAATGTATTTGATACAGAATTAAAAGGGCTCTCCAGAATTGAACGTGCAAATGCTTGCAACTCGGTCAGTACTTCCAGAATACTGTAAACAGTATGTGTGTTAAGTTATGCTGTTTGTTGCAATCTGAATGCAATGTTACTGTTAATGCCTCCATAGGTCATAAAACAACTCATGAAGAAAGAGTTCACTCTGGAATTCTCACGGGACAGAAAGTCCATGTCTGTCTACTGTACTCCGAATAAACCAAGCCGGACATCCATGAACAAGATGTTTGTTAAGGCAAGTTCAGCATATGAGAAGTGTAGTTTTGAAATGGCTACAAAGCAACATGATTCATGAAGAACGACGAGAAGTCCTGTGGCACCTTAGGGTGTGTCTAGACTACTGAGTTTTGTCGACAAAAGTGGACTTTTGTCGACAAAACTATACCTGCGTCTACACTACCGCTGAGTTCTGTCGACACTGGTAAACCTCATTTTACGAGGCATAACACCTTCTGTCGACAGAGTTCTGTCAACAGAAGGTGTTATTGCCTGTAGGGTTGCGTCTAGACTACAGGGTTTTGTCGACAAAGCAGCTTGCTTTGTCGACAGAGCGTCTAGACACATTCAGTTCTATGTCGACAGAAGTTTTGTCGACAGTATCTGTCGACAAAACTTCCGTCAACAAAACCCTGTAGTCTAGACGTACCCTTATAGACTAACAGATGTATTGAAGCATAAGCTTTCGTGGGCAAAGACCCACTTTGTCAGATGCATGTAGTGGAAATTCCAGAGGTAGGTATAAATATACAGGCATGAGAAAAGAGTTCCAATCAAGAGTAAGGCTAGAGATAACGAGGTCAATTCACAGTTGGGGAGGATGAGGCCCACTTCTAGCAGCTGATGTGGAGGTGTGAACACCAAGAGAGGAGAAACTGCTTTTGTAATTAGCTAGCCATTCGCAGTCTTTGTTTAATCCTAAATTGATAGTATCAAATTTGCAGATGAATTGTAGCTCTGCAATTGATTCTTGAAGTTGTGCCTAGACTAATTGCAGCTGAGCCACGAGCATATACATATGCCTAGTGTTTATCGGTTTTGGAGATGGAGTACTTTCTTATCTGGTGTTAAATGGTTCTGTGATGAAGAACAACTTTGCTCATTTCTTGTTTCGCTCCTGTAGGGTGCTCCTGAAGGTGTACTTGACAGGTGTACACATGTTCGTGTTGGAAGCACTAAAGTACCATTAACACCAGGAATTAAGCAGAAGATCATGATGGTCATTCGAGAGTGGGGTACTGGTAGAGACACATTGCGTTGCTTGGCTCTAGCAACACATGACAATCCACCAAGAAGAGAAGAAATGAACCTTGAGGATTCTGCAAACTTTATTAATTATGAGGTTAGTTTGGTAAAGGGCTTGTCCCTCCTTTATTTCAACAGGTCTTCTGCAGTGTTCCCTCTAACATTTTCCATCCTTAGGCGGGTTGAAATTTCTGATGTGCACCACCAATATTGAGGTTGTATGTGGATGTGCAGTGTGTCCCAGTACAAATAAAAAACCTAGGTATACATATATATTTTAAACAGTCCATAGGTATGGAAGACAATACATTAAAACAAGGGATAGTTAATAAGGAGCAATGCTTAAGATGTTTGCTTAATATGAAATCCAATAAAGAAAATGAATACTACCCTTGGGGTAACACGTATTATTGTTGTAACAACTCAAGCTAGTGTAAACGCCAAAATGGTTCATACGGCAAATAGCTATATAAATAAATCAAAGACATGGCCATTAAGTAAAAGCCTAAAAATATGCACAGCTTTAAGATGCTAAACAAATATATGAGTAAACTAGAAATAGTCATGCTCTCCTTGAAAATATTAATACAATATTTACTGACACAGGAAAGGAGAGTAAAAGGCAGTCACTAAGGCTTATACACTTTCTCTGGGGAATGTTTAGGATCCATGCTATGCAAGTGAAACAGAGACCTGTAAAAACAGATAAAAGTTCTGGTCTGAAACTTTCACCTTGTGTGTGTCACTAACTCTGGGGAGTAGGAGCCCCAGAGCACTTGTCCAGAATCCAACTCCAATTGAAAGGACAAACAAATTATACAGGATCCATGGTAAAATTCTTCCAGTTTTAACAATTTACCATGTATTAACTAGTAACACAGGATTAAAAAAATCATTAAGATCAGAGTTTGCAGATACCTACAACACTTTAAAAAAAATCTGTTAAAAGAATCCTTCCCTTTCTTACCGTAAGCCTTTAACACCTATGTAAGCTTTGTTTGAAATGTAATCATGCAAATGCCATGAGCTCTAGGCCTTTTGTTCCAGTATTCAAAAGCAGCCTAAAAGGTTTTAACCCACCTGAAATGTTGGCATCACCCCATACAGCCTGCCCCAGGCTGTGTCTGAGTCCTATGTCTGCAGCCCAACTAGGGCTGCTGTGCTGAGACAGACAGGGTTTCACTCTTACTACCTGCAGCCCAGATGGAAGCAAGTTAAGACACCCCAAACAAACTCCCCTCTGTCCAGGAGGGGACCCCTGGAGTGGTGCCAGTATATCGGCTAATATATACCCCTCCACCTCTCAGTTCCTTCTTACTGCTTGTGAGGGTCATTGGAATGTGCTCTGCTCTTGCTCTGCAAGCGCCTCTTAGCAGTTTTCACCTAGTTTGTTCTCGTAGATTAGTTAGTGTTCCTGTTAATTGTTTTATCTTCTGTAAATAGTTCTTACTGTAAGTCATTTACTCCTGCATGGGGACTTGCTTTGCATTCCCAGCACCTGCTGTGGGGCATCCCTGGGCCCCAAAGCTTCAAGACCTGTGTCAAGTGCTTGAAGCCTATGCCCTGTGGGAATCCCCACAAAGCTTGCCTGAAGTGCCTTGGGAGGCCCTTCTTTCTGAGTCCTGCAACATTTGCAGAGGGTTCAGAGCTGCACACCAAGCGGGAGTGAGTGTTCCGCCTGAAGATTCTGCTGATGGAGGCAACTCTCCATCCGGCACCGGCGTCAGACCCCACAGCAACCATGCAGAGCGCACTGGCTTAGGTGTGCGAGGCGCCCGGCCACTTACGGGCCTCTCTGGTACCGACAAGGTGGCGGCACTGATCTCAATCCCTGGTGCCGCAGAAGAAACAGATCGAGCAGAGGAAGTTTTCCGTCATGGCACGTGCCAACAGTGAGCCCTCAGGAGGGGCACAGGGCACCAGGGGGCTCGGTACCCGGACCTCTGAGGTTGGGTTGATCTGATACCTGCACCAGTGACCACACCAGCTCCAGCATTGACCCAAGCCAGGCACGTGGCACCGCCCTTATAATCATGCCAGCGCCCCCCACCCCCTCCCCGGCCCTGTGGGAAGCCTGAGCCTATGGCTAGGCATTCCCCTAGCTACAGGTCGCCGATTGCCACAGCACCGCCCTGGTTGGCCTCTGAGTACTCCACAGACCCGGAGGCCGAGTTGATCTTCTCATCGTGGGCATCCAGGTCTAGGTCTTGGCACTGATCTCACTCTCTGCACCGCTCCCGGCACTGAAGTCCTTCCGCACAGCCTTAGTAGCAGCCCTGGCTGCCCCAGTCGGCTAGGCAGTTATGGCCACTGCAGAGTTGCTGCCCACTGCAGAGGCAAGCACCCGTTCAGTGACCCTTTTCGATTCCCTGGCCCTACCACCAGTCACAGGGTGAGGGACCCTCTAGGCCGGAATCGGTCTACTCGGGGCCCAGGACTCCTACCTCAGCCGCCCCGCTGGTCCGCTCCCCTACGTCAGGGCAGTCCTTGCCTTTGGGCCAGGCCTCACCCAGGGCTTTGGGGGTCAGCACACTGCCCACAGCCTAGGCCTAAACGGTGGTCTCCTTGGCAGCCTCCCAGGTGGGCCCCCAGGCCTGTGACCTGGAAGATGTCGGTCTGAAGGGCTCCTCATCCTCATCTCCAGACGAGGCCCTGGGAGGGGCCCTCCCGTCAGTGGCCTTACTTCTTAGTAAAACTGTGGCTAAGATCACGAAGACCCTCTGGCAGACCCTGGCTTCCATTCCACCAACTGATAAGAAGGTGGAGAGGCGTTACTTTGTGCCTCAAGAGGGGAACAAACACCTGTTCTTCGAGTGATTGCTCATGTCCATTCCATGTAGGTGTGTGCATGCGTCGTCGGAAGTTTTTCCCTTAGCAGCTTACTTCTTAGTAAAACTGTGGCTAAGATCACGAAGACCCTCTGGCAGACCCTGGCTTCCATTCCACCAACTGATAAGAAGGTGGAGAGGCGTTACTTTGTGCCTCAAGAGGGGAACAAACACCTGTTCTTCGAGTGATTGCTCATGTCCATTCCATGTAGGTGTGTGCATGCGTCGTCGGAAGTTTTTCCCTTAGCAGTACCGGTTGGGCCAGCAGGGGAGACCCCCCTGGAGTGGTGCCGCTATATCAGCTAATATATACCCCTGCTGGTCCTCTATCCCCTCCCCTCTGTTCCTTCTTACCGCTGTGACGGTCGTTGGAACCTGCTTTTGCTCTTGCTCTGCAAGCGCGTCTTAGCAGTTTTACCTAGTGCTCTAGTTCTTTGTTAAAGTTTTCGCAGTTCATTGTTCTTATCTAGTTCTAAAGTAGTTGTGAAGTGTTTTACTTTGGGCTGAACAATCAAGCGCAGGGCTCGCTTCGCGTCCCCAGCACGTGTGGCGGGCCATGCCCGGACCCCAAGGCTTCAAGCCCTGTGAGACGTGCCAGAAGCCTATGCCCTGCAGAGACCTTCACTCAGCCTGCCTTAAGTGCCTCGGGGAGGCTCTCATATCTGAGGCCTGTAAAATCTATAAGCCCTTAAAGCCGTGCACCAAGCGGGAAAGGGAATCTCGCTTGAAGATTATACTCACGGAGGCAGCTTTGCTGCGTAGGCCTTGGCACCGGTCTCTGTCCCCAGTGTCCCAGAAGAAGAGGAGACCGAGCAGGGGCAGGCCTCCTTCAAGGCACGTACCCTCTGTGCGCCCTCAAATGGGACACGTGGCACCGCTCTAGCCCGCGACGAGCCGTGCACCAAGCGGGAAAGGGAATCTCGCTTGAAGATTATACTCACGGAGGCAGCTTTGCTGCGTAGGCCTTGGCACCGGTCTCTGTCCCCAGTGTCCCAGAAGAAGAGGAGACCGAGCAGGGGCAGGCCTCCTTCAAGGCACGTACCCTCTGTGCGCCCTCAAATGGGACACGTGGCACCGCTCTAGCCCGCGACGAGTTTCCAGCCCGGTGGGGGACTTCCCGGATCCCTCCACTCCAGAGACCTTCGAGGCAGCAAGAGACTGATCGAGCTGTCCTCCTCCCCAACCTCAGCACTGGTTCCAGCCAAGGAGCATGAGCCGGGACGGCACCGACCATTGGCCCCGGCACCTAGCACCCCAGGCCTGGAAGTGAGGGGACATCACCGCTCCACCCCGGTGCCTGCAGCTTCAGCCCCGGTACTGCGCCCCGCCCCCACCCTCCACTCCTGTCTATGCACCGGAACCTCGGCTGGTACCAGCAGCAGCACCGAGTTCTGCAGCTGCTGGCCCCTCCCCACCGGGCACACAGACGCCGGCACCGGCCATGCCCACTCCTCCCTGGCATGCCAGAGTCGATGTCCCAGCATGCCCCAACAGGGAGATCGCTGGCTGCGGCCACCGCTGGTACCAGCAGCAGCACCGAGTTCTGCAGCTGCTGGCCCCTCCCCACCGGGCACACAGACGCCGGCACCGGCCATGCCCACTCCTCCCTGGCATGCCAGAGTCGATGTCCCAGCATGCCCCAACAGGGAGATCGCTGGCTGCGGCCACCACCCTGGTCGACCTCGAAGTACTCGACCGACTCAGAGGCATGGTATGGTCATCCAGGGGCTCCAGGTCCAGTTTCCGGCACCAGTCCTATTCCCAGCACAGGTCACAGCACCGCAGCGCCTCCACGCAACACCAGCAGCAGCAGCAACAGTGGCCCCAGCCAACCCCGGTGCCGGTGCCACAGCAGTCCTGGCCCCCACAAATGCAGCCCCCGGCTCAGTGGCCCCTTTGGACTCCCTGGGCTTACTGCCAGAGCCAGGGTGCGGGTCCTTCTAGATCGGAGTCGGTCTTCTCTGGGCCTAGTGCGCCCCCTTTGGCGACCCCACTGACTCGATCCCCGACATCAGGGCAGTCCCTTCCCCCGGGCCAGTCCTCCCCAAGAACCCCCTTGAAGAGAGACGCCCCTGCCATTCACCCCTCCACCGTGGCCTCTTCTGCAGCCTCTCAGGCCCCCTCACAAGCCCGTAACCTTGAAGGGATGGGCATGAAAGGGTCCTCATCCTACCCCTACCAGAGTGGCCATACCAATCGACAAGACCGTGGCCAAAATCACGAAGACCCTCTGACAAACCCAGTCTCTATCCCACCTATGGACAAGAAGGTCGAGCGGAGGTACTTTGTGGCACAGGAGGGCAATGAGTGCCTCTTTTCCCACCTGCCTCCGGGGTCTCTGGTCGGTGAACTAGAGGCAGGGCCAGCTGGGTGCTACCCCTAAAAGTAGGGATGCCAAGAA